GGCAAAGTCAAAGCAAGCGGGTTCAGGAAGACGCAACTTTTGGTTTGGCCAGAGACGTTTGGCTTAAGAACCGGCCGCAATGGACCTCCATACAATTATTTAGAGCCGCTTCAAACAAGATTAATTTTGCAAATATAATGGCCAACGTCTTTAAGTATGAGCTACCTTAAGCATAATAATTCTTCTTCCGTGTATGCACGAAAGTAGGAGGAATGAATGTACACATTCTGGAGCTATTGTATAATGTTTTACTTAAAAATAAAAAAAATTATTGAAGTCATGTAAACTATTAGGTATGCTATAAATGGGGGGCTCGATTATAGAGTTCACTATTTCTGTCCGTATCAAAGGGTTAATTTCTGTCCGTATCAAAGGGTTATTAATTTGTTGGGTTACGTGGCAATCGGCAATTGAGTTTAAAGATATAAATTTTTCCAAATTTCAACCAAGAAATTTGGGACGAAAGCCGAGTACTATATTTTTTCAGGTCATTTCAAGCTTTAGAGATATCGTAAACATTATTAGGATCAAGTTTCCGTTTGACATGTAGCAGTTTTTCGAATACATAGAACTTTTCGTGAGTTCAAAACAGCTCCAAACAATTGCAAAATTGTATCTCACGAAGGGCATCTATACAAAATCTATGTTGGTGCAAAAGCTTACTGTTTTAACATCTCGCGTATTTAATTGAAAACTATATTGATCAGACTAAATACATTGATACTCTTATCTGAAGTAACCACAAAACCATAGGGATTATTCGGCTCATATTTGCCGCAGTTTGCGTGAAACGAAAATCACGTAATAAACAACTATTGTTAACCGGTGACATTTTCACGATAGAATATTATTTGAAAATTCGGGAAATAAATAAAAGATACGTTTATCTCTAACTATGTGGTGTGATTTACAGCGGTGCAATTTGCGCCTTTGGTTGGTCGATTTAGTCTAATATTAAACCATAGCTGGTTTGCCTTAATACTAATTCATACTTCTTCTCTTGAAAAGCCATCTTTGCTAAATATAGAAGGTAAACTTGAAAAATAGTTATAATACGATTTACAATAGTTGGCCCTTTCAGGAAGTTGCTACACAAGCAAATATTTATTTAAGTCTCCTCTGAACCATAAGTTGTAAAGCAAATCGCCTTGTTTTTTTGGCTTCTGGTACAGATGTTTTAATTTTTAAAGCTTACCAGAATAACTTTGAATAATGAAATTACGCCCATTGCTAACAGATAAGTTGTGTTGAGATGAGTAATGATGGAAATCAGTGAGGATTTAAAAGGATTTTAGGGACGGCGTAATGGTAAACCGTTTGCTCTTCTTCTTCTTAACAGAAGCATTATTATAATATTAATTAATTATTAAGCCCAAGAATATATTGATTTGTGTGATTAGGTTGAATTACTTCAAACGGCAAAGTTTGGCTCTTACGCTTTGTATTAAATCACATAAATCATCTTTATGTCTTATCTTTTATCTTATCATCTTATCTTTTTTTCACAGATTGTTGTTTCTGTTACTATGGGGTCGACAACTTTCACCAATATAAATAATTGTCAGATAAAATCCGATTTTAAATTTGCAAAAAAAATGTTTTCCTATGAGGAATTAGCATTAGATCGTACCTCGCCGGAAATACGACGCTGCTGACGTTCCAGCACATGGGTTGGTGCCAAAAAAAAGTAAAATTCGTTACCTAAAAGCCATTGAGAAATATAGGAAGTGGTGTGAAGGAAAAAAGGTGCTGAATATCTGCTACGGAAATGCAATGTTAGCATTCCGTTAAGGTTGAGCTCCCCATCGTCGCAACCCCAGGTGGCGGATAAGGGGAAGGCCGGTATATACATCTGACCGGTTAGGGTGCAGGGATCTTGGTTTCACTACCCGGATCGCGCGATGAGGTCACAATAACACCTCCCAATTCTCACGGAATAGTGCGCGCCAACAGATGCAAGGCTGGGGGGAAACCCAGCCAATAGCGACTAACCTTGAGGCAACAGGCGCACCTGATTGTATCAACCTTACCCACACATGCGGGGCTCTGTGTGCGTGGACCCAACACTTCCCCAGCTGCTCGTGGCAATGACATGGAGAATCCAACCATCATACCACCACCAAATACCGTCGGGACTTCCTCTGAAGAACCATCGGGGTCCGCAACTGGCAAAGTACCGAGGGGTGCTAAAAAACTCTCGAGGGCCGCTAGGCGAAAGTTGGAAATGAATAGGAAAAAACAAAAGTTGTAACCTACCAAAAGTGTGCTAGATAGACCCTCAGGGGAACGAGCACCACCAAAAAAGCTGCCACGACAGGGTCGGAGGTCAGCACACCCAACAAGCCAGCATCTAAGCGAATGTGAACTTCCGCGAGGGAAGAAACCGCACACACGTCGTGTAAGGATGAGGTTTCCGGGATAAAGATGGCCATAGCAGCGGTTCGACGTCCCGAGAAAAACTTTTCTCCTCAGCAGGGAGAGCTCATAAAGAGGCACCTGCTGGCAGAAATCGACGAGCTGCAGCCAGGGATTATAAGTTCTAAATTTTCAGAATGCCGTTACCAGGGGGCACCCGGCGGTTGTGAGGGAGACGAAACCCTGAAACCCTGAAGCGGAGCTAGTGCTTGTGGTCGCAAATATGCTTTCAAAGCCAAGCAAACAATAGAGTTCATATTAAAAGAGATAGACTTTTGAGGCCATTCCTTGAAACTTATAGGTTTTCTGGGTTTTTAGGCCGGCGTTCGGTAGAATTTCTTCTTGACGTTTCGCAAACACGACTGGCTTGCATCTTCAGAAGTGGTTTGCTTGAACAGTATACAGAAAACAAACAAGGCGATCAGGGCTTTATGGATCTGCAATCGCACTTTGGAAAAACATGGGGAATTTAACCGAAGATGGTGTACTGGACGTACGTCACCATTGTGAAACACATATGCCGCCGTAATATGGTGGCATAGAACCATAGCACCAAAATCAGTACATATCGGCAGTCTCTGAACAAAGTTCAGAGGCTGGTTTGTCTGGGATTAACTGGAGCAATGCCAACGACTCCGACGCCTGCTATGGAGACACTCCTGGGGATGGAGCATGTGCATTTATCCATTGAAGCTGAGGCCCTAAGAAGTTCTTACTGTATGGGTTACGGTGTCCTCAGGAAAGCGACGGAATTGGGACACAGTGCGACCTTCAGAAAGCTGAAGACAGTCGAACCCATGAGATCGAAAGCTGGTCGAATCAAAACTCTAAACATTTCGGTACCTTTCAGAACATATGTTCTAAATGAGGAGCCAGATGGTGGAGAGATTCCATCAGCTATCCCAGGGGACTCCGTACGGTATACGGAAGGCACAAAAACAGGATCGGGCGCGGGCGCTGGTATAGTCGAAAGAGGAAGAACTGGGGAAAGGATTACCTTAGACCAGGGTATAATCACGACCGCCTTCCTTCGGAAAATGAGGGAAAGATCATACACACGTAAGCACATTACTATCGTAACCGGATATGAAGCCACAATAAAGGCACTTGAATCGTACGCAATCAGGTCACAATGTGTGTTAGATTGTGTAAAAGAACTTACGACCCTGGCTGAGAGCTCAAACTTGGGCAACTGGGACAAACAGGATCAAAGAAAGCGATATTGCTGCGGAAATTGCTAAGCGCAACCACTGACCAACCAAGAACCTGCAAGTCTCATACCCAAGTTAGGGCGGGAGTTGGTCAGTGGATTTTGAAACAACATAGAAAGTACTGAGAGGAGATACCGCGTCTCCTTACTGCAGGGCAGTTGGTGAGACCTCCACAACCAGTGCGTCAAAATGAACTGCTAGATCTCAGCAGGCAAAAAATAATGAGGATAGTGGCCTTCATAACCGGACACTGCCCCTGCCAAAAACACCTCTTCAGGATGGGACTGAGCGATCAACCGACCGGCGGGCGGTGCGAATTAGAGGACGAAACTACTCTACATATCATGTGCCACTGCAAGTCATATGCAACAGGTAGACGAAGACTCCTGTGAGGGACGAAGTTCTACCAGACCAGGTTATGCGTCAATGATTGGTTGGAGATCTGTAAATTCGTCCTCCGTCGTACAAATTCACAGATCTTCAACCAATAGAAACACTTTTGTATCATAGCACCATCGAATAAACGGATGCATAGGACAAAGGCTTAAGGTTCTGGTAAGCAACAACTTTGGATTTCTTTTCATGGGATAAATTGCTGGTGCTTTTTTAGTCTTGTTTTAAGTCAAGCAATTGTCTGGTGCTCCCTATTTTTGTTCATTAACTATTTTTTTTTCAAACATGTTACGTTAGCTAGATATGTATGACAAATCCTACATGAGGTGATAAAGAAACGTGGAAATATTTTTCTGTGGGATTCATGTGAAACGAGGCATTCCGGATGAAGTTTATTAAGCATCTTAATTAAGCATCATTTCAGGTTTAACTCGTCTGGGAAATATTTTAGCAGTGACGCTTGTATTACATCTTTTTTATTTTATGGCAGTTTTAGAGTTTAATTTTTTACTCAATTTTAATAAATCTATTTTTTATCTTGAACAGCAGAGCCACGTCGTATTAAAGATTTTGTAAGATATTGAATTTTTTGTGTGGTATTTACCTGCAGAACCGTCAACTCTTTACAACAAATTAAAGTTTCCGTGATATTATTTTTACAAGAATTTCTTACTTTATTATTAACGACGCTCTCAAGGAGGCCTTATTCTCATGTTTTCTTTAGATCAGTTTTCTTCACTATTATTCCCTTATCATGACAAAGCGTACACAATTAAATAGAATGGCAAACCACTCAAATTCATCCTTAGAACAACTTCCCTGTTCAATTATACACGGTGGTCCTCAACTAATGTGACAAAATTCTCTTAATATTGCGTTTTAGACAAGTTTGTCTGATATGAAAGTTAATAAAAGTTGAAACCAATTAAGAACCTATTAAAAATAAACGAAAATTGTATTTACACGTTGACACCCTGTATCTCGGGAACTACTAACTTTCAGTTCAGACAAATTTACATAAAATGCAATATTTTTGGCTAAACTCTATGCCAGTGAATTTGTCACATTAGTTGAAGACCACCCTGTACAGAATGGCCACAAATAAAAATATGCGAGGAAAATATATACATATTTACATTGCGAGAACGGTATCTGCAAGGGCTTCTGTAACTTTTCCGCATGAGATGACGTGATTCAGTGAATTCGCTCAGTACAAAACGACTTTCGGAGTAAAAGCGCTTTAAAGCTAGGAATTTGCACACACAGATAATAACACACGTTTATGCAAAATTCCATTGGCCTAACTTTTCCAAATATGGCTTGAAGTTCATTAATTTCAGAAAAATCTGAATATCAATAATCGCATTAATATTTCTTAGTTTTCTCACGATATTGGCAATAATAAACAACCGTTTTTCTATAGTGGATTGTTCCTATAACCGCAGTGAGCGGCTTGGAAAATCCTAGCTTTCAATAAAATAAACTTGCAAATAACGGATTACTGACTTTAGCTCATTTTCATTAATTGTCACATGGCACATGCGTAAGAACGAGACAATTTTCACCCTTCAGGAAAAACATGCAGTGAGGTTTCAACGGTTTCGGTGGAAACTAGGGCTTGTACAAACCGCGTTCGATTGGAAAACTCGTAAAGTTCTCTAGGACCATTTGAACTAGTGGTGTGTCGAACAGTTGACAATTTTCACGAGTTTGGTTTTCATGCAACTGAGCTGGTGGGTGAGTTCATTGTATATTTTGTTTTAAAAAAAATGTGAAAAATAATTTAACTTAAAATGTTGATTGCAAGAAACATTACCTTTTTTGAATTTTTATTCTGCAGTTTTCCAATGTATTTTTATTCATATTCTAGTAAAAATAAGCTCAAAACGGAAACTAACATTAACAGAAATTTTCGAATATACAAGGTGTTCATAAAATGCGTTAAGAATTTTTTAAGGGTGATTCTACATGCTAAAATAATGGTAGAAAGTCATGAACATAAATTCGAAATCTGAACCATTTCCGAATTACAGCTTATCAAACTATATTTTTTCCTTTCTTTCAGCGATGCTGCTAGATGACACTTTACCTGTAATTCAATTTTCGTTTTCCTCATGTCTTTTTTGAATCACCAGATGTCTCAAAACGGAAATGCCATCTTAGGCACTAGAAAATACTAGGCAAAAAAGTTTCTCTTCAGACAACTCGAAACACTTCTTGGTTTAGAAGCAAATGGACAATAAAATTTTTATTACTCCAAACCAATGGCCTTGTTGGGGGGGCATTTAATTGGAATCGCACCAAATCAAGTCCTCTGGATTTAAAATGTGCCGAATTTGAAAATTTGCGGTAATTAGGCCCGGTTCCACCATCTCCAATTAAAATGTTTATAATTGATTAAAGCTATTTAATCAACACTTTGCGTTCCACCACAATTTTAACCAGGGTTATGGACACTTAATCAGTGGTTAACTTAATCGCCTAAAATGGCTGATTATTGACGATAACCACGATTAGTGTAGTATTATAACCTCAAACAATTTTAAGTAAACACATGTTGGATTTGTTTTATGGCGATGTTTTATCACCGTCTGATGAGAATAGTGACATTCAGGTTGATAGAAGACCCCAAATATCTAATACGCGAGTCAATGATTTTGAGATCATGGACACCTTGAGTTTTTCACGCTATTTCGCTTATTGAAAAACATTGTCCAAACATTACTACTGGAAATAGAAATAGACCTGCAACACACTACAGAAAGTTATGTTAAATGAAAAACAGTAAAATTGCCACCTGTTTATTAAATTGATTTTTTAGAAACAACACTATTCAACCCATGACACAACTTTTACTTGTGTTGAGGTATTATGCAGCTGGATCGCATCTTATTGCTGCTGAAGACTTTTTTGGAGTACGCAAAACTAGTCCGCATCGAATTGTATATCGAGTAACTGCTGCAAAAGCCACATTAGGTCAAAATGGCATTAACCTCCCATCTACAAAAAGGGACAAAAGTGCAGCACAAGTAATTTTTTATGAATTAGCTCGTTTTTTGTTGGATTGTACTCATATTAAAGTACAATTCTTTGGGGGAGACAACGCAGAAGTATTTCGTAATAGAAAAGGATATTTCTCTATCAATGTTCAAGCGACATGTGATTATTATTTTGAGGAAAAATTATTTCAGTTGATCTGTCAGTTGTTTAAACGAATCAGAACAGTGGATTCAAAGGAAATACGATCTTACCTGATGAAACTTATGATTATCTAACTGAAGTTAAAATGTTTGTTGTGGAACACATGACAATTTAATCATGATTAAAGTGGTTATTAAAAAATAAGTGTTTTAGTTAACCAAGAATTTAATCACTCTTGGTAGAACCGGGCCTTGTTCAATGTAGACTACAAGTTTGTGCTCTAAAACCACTAGATTAGAATGGATCGGTAATGTTCAAATCTTGCTTTCAAATGCAGCACAAAAATTGAGTCAAAATTAAGCAATAATACAGTAATTCCTATAAATTGTCAAATTTGGCACATTTTAAAACAAGACGCCTTGATTTGCTGCGTTTGCAACTAAACCCAAAGACACTGGGTTGAGAGTGATACAAACTTTTATGTCGATTTGCTCCTAAACAAAGAGGCTTTTTGAGTCATGCGAAAAGAACATTTTTTGTCTTACATTTCCCAATTTTTAAAATCGCATATTACTTTTTGTAATATTTGACTGTGCCAAAAAAGATACGGAAAAATTAAATTTGGATTTCAGGTAAAATGCCATCTAGCGTTAGAGCGGAGAAACAATTTTTTATTAGAAAGTTATTACTAAGACAAAACTGTACCAATTTTAAATTTTAAATTTTAAATAAAAAAAACTATGAAATTTGACGAGCTGTAAAGCCTAGTTCTCATAAGCGAACTTTCGGAAAAAAAATCCGAATAATTGGACGATTTGACAGGCGTCGGAAAAAGTTGAAATTCAATAGTTCTCGTGTTCGATTATTTCTTGCTGAAAAAAAGCAATAATTTTGACTCATCGTTTTGGTGACAATGGCAGTGGTTGGTGAAAATGACCGCGATTTTAACCTCAAAGCCCACTTTTCCGAGGAGCGGCTAACCGGAGGAACAAAATCCAATGTTATACGCATGCGCGCCAATTAACCAAGATAAATGACATTTCAAAAAGTAATACATAACCAAAGTTATTTTAAATAATAATCTATTTGAATCTATCATTAATTTCGTTTATAACTTGCTGTTAATTTTAAAAGCCTGTGTGTTTAGTTTAGTATAGCCAAATACTATTATATAGCAATGCTGTTTTATTGTTTCGAATGCAAAAAGTTGTATTCAAGTCAATCCAATTTAAACAAGCATATTAAGGTGTTGCATAAAGAATCTTTACAAGTGATAAATTATGCCTCGTGTACCAAATATAAATGCGGAAGCTGCAATGGTCACTTCAAATATGACAATGATTTAAGGAAACATCTGGAATCACAACATGAATTTAAAAATATTGTTGAAGAATTGCATTTTGAGAGCCATAGTGGTAAGTAAGAAGTAGTTAGTATGTATATTAACTTGAATATTTCCTTCGTGTGATAATCTGTCCGTTTAAAGTGTGCAATTATCGAAAAATTACAGCGGTAATTGCACAGTGTGCAATTATCACAACGATAATTGCATTGTTAACAAAAAATATTTGACAGGTGTCTTTTCATGTTGAATTAGACATAAAATGTCTTCCTGACATACCTAAGATATTCAAATTAAATACGACAATATGAAAATAAACTCATGCAGTTTTTAGACAACAAGCTTTGATGCAAAATTATTGGTAAGTGCTTCAAGCACTTGTGCAATTACCCCCGATAATTATTTGTCTCCAACTTTTACTTATAGCATTCACTCAGTGGCTGTCTGAAGAAGAAGAACAAATCAAGTCAGCATGTACAAAATACAGGAAAAAAGAGCGAAGCTGAGTTTGGTTTGGTGTATTATTAATGGAAACGATCTTATAGAAATAGAAAAGATAAAGAATTGGCATCAACACATAAGGTAATAAGGCATAAGATAAAATTATCATTAATGAATTTATTTACAATTTAGCTGTTAGATCAGTAGATTCTAGTAATGGTCATAAATATGTAGAATTTAGTTAGTATTTTATATCTATTAATAAATATCAGAATGTTCTGAAATATAAATATATGTTACCTATACCTACTTGCAGTAAATTTATATTAAGACCGTTTACTTTGTATTACTTTTGACTGAAAGGAAATAAAACAGAATGTATTTCATTGTTTATATTTATTTTGATAAATATTTCATCTTTTTCATTTCCGTAAGATCGTTAGATTCATAAAACACTAAATCAAACTCAGCTTTGCTCGTTTTTCCTGTATTTTAAACATCTTGAATTTATTTCAATTTTCCTCTTCAGACAGGAACTGAGTGAATGCTATATAAGTAAGGTCGGAGACAAATAATTATTCAGTTATTATATTTCTGTATTTCTTACTGACCACTATAGTTCTTAAAATGCAATTCTTCAACAATAATTTTAAATTCATGTTCAATGTTTTCTTAAATCATTGCTATATTTGAAGTGACCATTGGAGCTTCCGCATTTATATTTGGTACAGGAGGGATGCCTTATCACTTGTAAAGTTTTTTTATGCATTACCTTAATACGCTTCTTTAAATTGGATTGGCGAATACAATTTTTTGCATTCCAATCGATAAAACGGCATCCATGTATAGTCTTTGGGCTATACTCAACTAAACAAATTGTTATTAGTTTGGTTATGCATTGTATTATTCTTTGATATGTCTTTGATAAATATCTTAGGTAATTGGTGCGCATTCCTATAACATTGGATTTTCTTCCTCCGCTTAGCCGCTCCTACCTTTCCGTTCCCTCGCTCGACGTTCGCCAAGCTCGTCTTTATCTATACAACATACATGGACGCGGAAACCATACTATCATCCGAAGCCAAAACATGTAAATTTACGCTATTATATACAAGTATTGAGCACATTTAATTTTAAAGAAACGAAGAAAAAGTATTTTCAAGTGTGTAGATTTTATTCAATTTTTGAAATTCGACCAAGGGCTTTCGGTGATTCGTAAAGCATAGGCCAAGCTTGAAAAAATTGAATAAAATCTACACTGAAAGTGCATGCTAATCTTTCTCCTGCAGTTATATGATCTCGGCTTTTACAATTTTTAGTAATATGCGGTCCAACTTGAATCGATAACTTTGATAATAAAGTATCGAATAATTATTTCGACATTCTCATGTAATTAAAATGTTTTTCTCGATCTTGAAGACGCATTTCTTGAATCAAATTAAAATACGCTACGTGTTCCGGTCCTCGTTGGAAAATCTCTCTAATGTCTTACATAACCTATAAAACATAACCTATAAAATCCTCCGAATTTCCGAATAATCGGAAAAAGTTGGAATGATTTCAACTTTTTCCGACATTTGTCAAATCGTTCAATTATTCGGAATTTTTTTCTGAAAATTCGCTTATGAGAACTAGGCTTAACTTGGAAAATCTTCAGATTACTACTTTTTGTTACATGACCTACCTACTATCATTACTTTAGCATGTATAAGCATCATTAAGAATATCCCAACGCTTTTTCCGAACACCCTGTATATCTGTAAAATGTTAAAAAATGTTGTTGTAAAATATTATTATACTTCGACCAAAGACA